AAGCCGTAGTTCTGACAAGAGCTGTCCTTGAAAAAGAGCAGTTTCTGTCAGAGTTCTCTCAGCCCCACCTACCTCACAGGGTGTCTGTTGGATGACCTTGGGCAAGCCGTGGTTCTGATAAGAGCTGTTCTTGAGAAAGAGCAGTTTCTGCCAGAGCTCTCTCAGCCCCGCCGACCTCACAGAGTGTCTGTTGTGGGGAGGGGAAAGGAGTTTGTCAGCCGCTCTGAGACACCTTTGGGTAATGAAGGGCGAGATATAAATCCAATCTCTTCTTCTTCTGGGAGAACCGGGGTCTCACAGGGTGTCTGTTGGATGACCTTGGCCAAGCCGTAGTTCTGACAAGAGCTGTCCTTGAAAAAGAGCAGTTTCTGTCAGAGTTCTCTCAGCCCCACCTACCTCACAGGGTGTCTGTTGGATGACCTTGGCCAAGCCGTAGTTCTGACAAGAGCTGTCCTTGAAAAAGAGCAGTTTCTGTCAGAGTTCTCTCAGCCCCACCTACCTCACAGGGTGTCTGTTGGATGACCTTGGGCAAGCCGTGGTTCTGATAAGAGCTGTTCTTGAGAAAGAGCAGTTTCTGCCAGAGCTCTCTCAGCCCCGTTGAAGTTTGTAAGCCGCTCTGAGACACCTTTGGGTAGTGAAGGGCGGGGTATAAATCCAATCTCTTCTTCTTGTTCTTCTATTTTGGTGCAGTGGTTAAGTGCGCAGACTCTAATCTGGGAGAACCGGTTTTGGTTCCCCACTCCTCCACTTACAGCTGCTGGTGTGACCTCTTCTTCTTCTATAAAATTCTGGCCTAATAGAAACTTTTCATCTGTGGTAACGTATGTATATGTATTGGTATTAAACATGGCTTAAGTATGCTTACTACAGCATCTATTATTCATTATAGTTACAAACGTTAAAAGTTGGAAGTTTGTAATTATATCTTGTGTATATTCATGCTACAATCTTTGTAGGTAACTAATCATCCTTTATTGTAGCGTCCAGTATCAAGACTGTTTCACAACTGTTATGTACTTAATACATCACTTTGTATATGTATGTCTCTTATGTTTTTACCTCTTCTTCTATAAAATTCTGGCCTGATGGTACGATGGGTTAAAGGCCAGTAGACAGATGACAGACGGGGGACAGCAAGCTCAGGGAGGCCATAGATGGGTGCCACTGCCTCAACCAGAGGCCTGGGGGGGTTGGAGCCTGGGGTGCTATCAAGCCCACCCTACAAAGCTTCCATTTCCTCCAGGAAAACGGATCTCTGTCGAATGGAGATGTCTTGAACAGCAATGCCGGGGGATCCCCAGAGCATCCCACTGAGAGACTGGCCACTCAAGTCCGAGATCCTGGAGGGCCTCTGCCAGCCTGAGTAGGCAGTATTGAACTTGGTGGACCACAAAGGTCTGACTCAGTACACAAAAGCACCTTTGCAGTGCCATGGAGTCCACCCTCCAAAGCATCCATCTCCTTGAAAGGAACTGATGTTTGTCATCTCGAGATCAGTTGCAATCCCGGGAGATCTTCAGGGGCCCCCCTCCCGAGGTTGGCGACCCTAAAAAGGAAATCCTAGTTAGATTCCGCAGGATGAATTCGGAGACAAGCCAGGCTGCCCCAGAGCTGGACCTCCTGATGGCACCTGGTATTTTTGTAAACTAGCCCAGCCACAGTAACCACACACAACACAACTAGATAATAACAATGTATCCTGTGGTTATAATAGCACTATGACAAAAATTTAAAAGCACAATCACAACATACATTTCTAATGGATTATTAGATAATCAAAATATTAGAAGGAAGAACCATTTATTTATTTATTGCTTTTGAGAACATTATATGAGGGACCAAACGTCTGTTCAAATTTTACTGTAATATTTTTTATCATTTAATAATCCATTAGAAATATATGTTTGTTCTTTTAAATTGTTGTCATAGTGCTATTACAACCACAGGATATATTGTTGTTATCTAGACCTGGTGTTTTTGGCCTCTGTGTGACACAGAGTGTTGGACTGGATGTGCCATTGGCCTAATCCAACATTGGCTTCTCTTGTGTTCCTGTGAGGCTCCTTGCCTGGCTGGCCTACCCTGCAGGGAGGGAGCCACCCCCCGCCCCCGGCCTGCCAGGGTGCCTGCTCCGCTTCTTTCTCTTTCCACGCGTTTCGCCCCGCACATGGCGGATTCCGCCCTTTCGACCGGGCTCCAGAGCTCCCCCTACAGAGCAATGCAGGCTACGTCCCTTTGACCTACCTCCAACCCGGAAGACTGCCGGGCGACGACACTTCCTGTGGGCGGTGAGACATGTGAGCCGAGACACAAGGCGGGTCATGTGACAGACGATACGCTAGACGTCACTTCCGTTGCGGCCCCAAGCACCGGAAGTGCCTGTCAGAGGCCGCCGGGAACATGTCGCCGACCATGGGGACGGAGGCGGCGGCGCCCGGTTCGGCGGCCGAGCTGCTCTTGCAGCGGCTGGATCTGGCAGGAGCCTCCGCCGAAGCCGGCATCTGCAGCCTGGAGGCGGCCGCGGCGCTCGGCCTGGATCACCAAGTGCTGGTCGGGGCGGTGAAGAGCCTGCAGGCGCTGGGGGAGGTGAGCGGAGGCCACGCCCCCTCGGCGGCGGAAAGGGGGTGGGGCTACGCCTAGCCGCTCCCGGATTGGCTGGGTTGGATTGATCGATCGATCGCTCAGCAAACGGGGCGGCGGGCGGTAGCCCTGCCTGCATGTGGTGTGGCCTCGCGCACCGGCCTGTCACTTTGGTGACTCGGGGCAGAGCACGTGATGCCCCGTTCTATCTGCACGACAGCCCTGCGAGGGAGGCCAGGCGGCAGAACGACTGGCCCGAGGGGGCTCAGGGAGCCCGCCCGCGAGATGGGCGGGATATAAATGCAAATAGTAAATAAAATAAATAATTAATAAATCATGGGCCAAAGTGGATTGGCTGGGTTGGATTGATCGATCGGGTCTGGGTTGGATTGATCGATCGGGTTCAACCGGGTCTTCCCAGCTCTAGTACAGCGCTAAGCAGTGTTCCCTCTAAGCTGAGTCAGTGTGAGCCAGCTCACAGTTTTTTAGCCTCCGGCTCACACCTTTTTGTCTCAGCTCAGGAAGGAGGGCTCCCAAGCAAACTGATGGATGCAGTAGCCCGATCGCTCGCTCACAACTTTAATGCCAGGAGCTCACAAAGTAGAATCTTTGCTCACACGACTACACAGCTTAGAGGGAGCATTGGTCAGGACCAGTGTTCCCTCTAAGCTGAGTGAGTGTGAGCTAGCTCACAGTTTTTTAGCCTCCAGCTCACACCTTTTTGCCTTCGCTCAGGAAGGATGGCTCCAGAGCAAACTCATTGATGCAGCAGCCAAATGACTCGCTCACAATTTTAATTCCAGTAGCTCACAAAGTACAATTTTTGCTCACAAGTCTCCACAGCTTAGAGGGAGCGTTGGCGCTAACCACTTAACCACTGACAGCTCCTCTTCTGAATAACCGCCCTGCCTCAGTGCTCTGTGCCTCAGGCCAAAGGGCATGAACAGGCGGGGGTGGGGGGGGAACCACTGTGTCAAGCAGGGTGCTGAATGGGGCGGACCCCTGGTCTGATCTAGCAGAGCTTTAGGGGGGATTAAACTGGAGGAATTAATTGACTGTGGAGCTGGTAATGATGGCTATGAGCAGCGTTAGATTCATGGAGGAGAGTCCAGAAGCACCTTAAAGACTAGCAAAGTTTCTGGCAGGGGATGAGGCTTCGCAAGTCACTGCTCGCTTTTTCAGATCCCCTTTATCTGAAGAAGTGACTGCAGGTGACTCAGGAAAGCTCCTCCCCTGTCACAAATTGTGTTCGTCGTGAAGGTCCTATTGGACTTGTTCTTTTCTACTGCTACGCTACAGGCAGACTAACACGATTACCCGTCTTGACCTATCTGAAGAAGTGAACCGTGACTCACGAAAGCTCCTCCCCTGCCACAAATTTTCCTAGACTTTAAGGTGCCGCTGGACTCTGGCTCTTTTCTCCTGCTACAGACGGACTAACACGGTCACCCATCTTGGTCTATCTGAAGAAGTGAGCAGTATCTCATGAAAGCTCCTTCCCCCAACAAATTAGTCTCTAAGGTGCTCCTGGACTCTTGCTCTTTTCTACTGCTACAGACAGACTAACACGGCTACCCATCTTGATCTATCTTCATAGAGGAGAGATCCATCAGTGGCTGCTAGGCATGGGTGTGAGCCTCCATATTCAAAAGCAGGAAACCACTCTATCCCAGTGCTGGAAAGCAGCATCAGTGGAAGGTGTTATCTTTACGCCCTGAAACTGGTTGGCCCCTGTGTGAGAGGGGATGCTGGACTAGAAACTGGTTGGCCCCTGTATGAGAGAGGATGCTGGACTAGATTGACCACTGGTCTGATCCAGCAGGCCTCTTCCAATACCAGTGCCATCAGGAGGTCCACCAGTGGGGCCAGGACATTAGAAGCCCTCCCACTGTTGACCCCCCCTCAATGGAGGAGAGATCCAAAGACCCCCTCCTCAATGGAGGAGATATCCTTAAAGATGGACCTCCTTGGTATTTGGCTTTATTCCAAAGATCCTCTTACTCGTGTACAGTTCTAGTTGAGTTCAGGAAAGAATGAAACTGGTGTCTGAGAGCTACTATTTCAGACTGCAGGTGAGAATACATAGGAGGGGCTGTAGCTCATTGGCAGTGCAACTGTTTTGCATTTAGAGGGTCCCAGGTTCAAATCCTGGCATCTCCAGTTAAAAGGATCAAGTAGTAAGTGATGGGAACACCTCAGCCTCTGAGACCTGGAGAGCCCCTTCCAATTAAAGTAGCCAACTCTTGATAGATGAGTGGGATGACTCAGTATGGTAGCTTATTTAAGGGTTTGGGACAGAGCACCTGACTTGTGTGCAAAACGACCCGGATTCAAACCTTGGCGCAGCTTAAAAGATCAGGTAGCTGGTGATGCAAAATACCTCCATCTGGAACTGTAGAGTCTTCCAATTTGAGCAGACGTTATTGACCTTTGTAGGCCAAAGGTCTGAATGCAGTCTTCCAATTTGAGCAGACATTGACCTTTGTAGGCCAAAGGTCTGAATGTTTTGTATATTTTTGCATATTCAGTGTTTGTAAATGTTACAAATATATGTGGGGATTTCTAAACACACAAAACTGGAATGTTGTAATATTCAACTGCACACAAACATTGTTTTCAGTGAACTGATCAATGATTGTGAGTCCCCATTGCCGGCTGAAGTGGGTTGGTTAACCTGGGGATAAGTCTACCATGGCAGTGAACACTGGCCCAGTACGTAGCTGGTGTAGGGAGAGGATAGGAGACTTTTGTCAACACCAGTGACAGATGGTTTTACCAGGTGAACAGCAAAAATAGATGCACTTCTAAGTTACTTGGGGTCTTGCTAGGTGGGCCCCTGGTTATCCAGTTCTCTTTGAGACGCTTTCTCTGCCAAGCGATCCCACCCTCTCTCCTTAAAGCACTTTCTGTTCTTGGAAATGTTCTCATTAGGTGATTGAGGCTGAACAGCGGACGTCCAAGAAGTGGGAACTGACGCCTGAAGGCGAAGAAGTTGTCCGCGAAGGGAGCCACGAAGTCCGGGTCTTCAACAGCATCCCCCTTGAGGGTTTGGCCCAGAGTGAGCTGATGGTAAAACCTGCTCTTCCTCTCCCCCACCCTCACTGACCTGAAGCACTGTGCTTATGCTCCTGAAATGGGGAGGGACTGTTTGGCTCAGTGGCAGAGCCTCCGCTTGGCATGCAGAAGGTCTCCGGTTCAATCCCCGGCACCTCCAGTTAAAAAGGACCGGGCAGTAGGTGATGCGAAAGACCTTTGCCTGAGACCCTGGAGACAATAATGACCTCGACGGACCAGTGATTCAGTAGGAGGCAGCTCCTTGTGTTATCAGAATCCCTGATTCCAGCTTTTGCATTTGTCGTGAATCTTGGTTCAAGTTCCTCTGTTTTTTCTTCTGGGGCTGTTACTCCTGGATAGCGGGGCTTGATCCTGTACCTTCCAATTCCAATAACCTTTATTGGCATTCTGTGCCTTGTGGTGGTTTTCCTGCAGAAACTGCCCTGTGGAAAGGTTGGATTCAGCAAAGCCATGTCCAACAAGTGGATCCAGCTGGATAAGAGTGCAGAGGGAGGGCCCTGTGTCTTCCGAGCGGTGAGTGGTCCCAATGCCTTTTCTGCCTTGGGTTCTCTATTTATGCCAGGCAGTACACGCTATATCCGAGGGCTGCTGTGTGCTAGAGCTGATTAAACATGTAGGAAAAGGCACTATGGGCATGCCTGGGTGGTGGGTCCCGTGTGGCGTCTTCTCCCATTTGCTTCGAACGGGAGCATCTGGAATGGATGCTGTTCTCAAAGATCTTTGCTTTCCCCCCTCTAGGTGGAGAGCGTGGAGGATGCGGTGAGGGAAAAACTGTTTCAGGTGCAGCGGGGGGAGGCCGACGGTCTGGAGGAGAAAGACAAGAGCGAACTGAAGAAGCGCAAGCTCCTGGCTGAAGTGTAAGTTTGGACAAGTCCATTCTACGTTTCTGGGACTTGATTCTGCCAAGATGGTTAAAATCGCTTGTTCCTGACAGTGTTGTAGTGCTGCAAAGCCTTGTTGATCTGTTTGCTGGCTGATCCCATGTGTGCTGTGGGCGATTTGCTCCCGCTCATGCCTGTAATAGTAGTTCCAAAAAACAAACGGGGAATCACAGTGTAAAGCCAGATAACAATCCGTCACTGTGATTAGCAGCTACGGTGTTTTATAGTTCATAAAAATACAAGTGGTCCTTACATACCACGTAAATAACATAAAATCCCACAGCTTATCGATCTGATCTTGTATCACAAAAATTAGAAGGGAAGCTAAGGCATAGCCTGTGACTGGCCAAGCAAGTCTTTGGCTGTGGTCTGCATTTGAAACCAGGTTTGGTGCCTTCTGTCCACGGGATCATATTGATTGTCTGGGTCATAAGAACATAAGAGAAGCCAATGATGGATCAGGCCAGTGGCCCATCAAGTCCAACATTCTGTGTCACAAGAGTAGCCAAAAATACCAGGTGCCATCAGGAGGTCCAGCAGCAAGGGGGCCAGGGCACCAGAAGTCCTCCCCCTGTTGCCCCCCCCCCCCCAAGCACTAAGACTACAGAGCATCCCTTGCCCCGGACATAAGAACACAAGAGAAGCCAATGTTGGATCAGGCCAATGGCCCATCAAGTCCAACACTCTGTCACACAGTGGCCAAAAATACCAGGGGCCATCAGGAGGTCCAGCAGTGGGGCCAGAACACTAGAAGTCCTCCCACTGTTGCTCCCCCCCCCAAGCACCAAGAATACAGAGCATCCCTTGCCCCAGACTGAGAGTTTCTATCTATATCTTGTGGCTAATAGCCACTGATGGGCCTCTGCTCCAGATGCTTGTAGCTGCCACCACCTCCTGTGGCAGTGAATTCCATGTGTGAATCACTCTGAGCCATTGAGTTTTCCACCCTCTGGATCCTGAAACAGAGGGTCAAAGTTGTAACACTGTTTGTATGCTTTGCAACACCCAACCGCAGCCTGGGTTTTGGCCACTGTGTGACACAGAGTATCAGACTGGATGGGCCATTGGCCTGATCCAACATGGCTTCTCTTATGTTCTTATGTCTCTCATGGGATTCTCTGGCCATAGGAATTTGGGAGTCTGGCTGCCTCTTTGTTGGACGGAATTAACCACAAAGTTTTGTGTTTTGTTTTCAGGACTATGAAGACGTACTGGATCAGAAAAGGCAGTGCTTTTAGTACCACCGTCACCAAGCAGGAAACAGACCTTACGCCGGAGATGATTGCCAGGTGAGGAACTGCTACACCACGCCCTTCTCCAGGGGAACCAGCAGCAGGGCTTGAGCGCTTGGCCAGACTCAGATCTGCACCTCCAGATGGCTGTTTCTCTCCAAAAGTTGCTCCAAAAGGCCAACGCTATGCTGGGGATTATTAGGAAGGGACTGAAAACAGATCAGCCAGTATCATCATAGTAAAGGTAAAGGTTTCCCTTGCTCGAAAGCCAGTCGAATCTGACTCCAGGGTTGCGGTGCTCATCTCTGTTTCAAAGCCGAAGAGCCAGCGCTGTCCGAAGACATCTCTGTGGTCATGTGGCCGGCATGACGAAACACCAAGGTGCACGGAACGCTGTTACCTTCCCACTGGAGTGGTACCTATTTATCTATTTGCAATTTCTTGCTTTCGAACTGCTAGGTTGGCAGGAGCTGGAACTAGAGACGGGAGCTCACTCATCATGCGGCATACTCGGGTCTCGAACTGCTGAACTACCGACCTTCCACAGCCTGCAGTTCAGCGTCTTAACCACTTGAGCCACCGCAGCTCGTGCCCCTGTATAAATCGATGGTGCAACCTCATTTGGAGTACTGTGTGGAATTCTGGTCACCACGCCTCAGAAAGGATATTATAGCACTGGAAAAAGTGCAGAAAAGGGCAACTCGAATGATAAATGGTTGGAACACTTTCCCTATGAGGAAAGGTTAAAGCGCTTAGGGCTCTTTAGCTTGGAGAAAAGACGACTGAGGGGTGACATGATCGAGGTTTATAAGATTATGCATGGGAAAGAGCAGGTAGAGAAAGAGGTACTTTTC